AAAGTGTGTGTGTGTGTGTGTGTGTGTGTGTGTGTTACAGGCTTGTATGTAGGGTGTGTGTGTGTGTGTGTGTTACAGGCTTGTATGTAGGGTGTGTGTGTGTGTGTGTGACAGGCTTGTATGTAGGGGGTGTGTGTGTGACAGGCTTGTATGTAGGGGGTGTGTGTGTGACAGGCTTGTATGTAGGGGGTGTGTGTGTGACAGGCTTGTATGTAGGGGGTGTGTGTGTGACAGGCTTGTATGTAGGGGGTGTGTGTGTGACAGGCTTGTATGTAGGGGGTGTGTGTGTGACAGGCTTGTATGTAGGGGGTGTGTGTGTGACAGGCTTGTATGTAGGGGGTGTGTGTGTGACAGGCTTGTATGTAGGGGGTGTGTGTGTGACAGGCTTGTATGTAGGGGGTGTGTGTGTGACAGGCTTGTATGTAGGGGGTGTGTGTGTGACAGGCTTGTATGTAGGGGGTGTGTGTGTGACAGGCTTGTATGTAGGGGGTGTGTGTGTGACAGGCTTGTATGTAGGGGGGTGTGTGGGGGGGGGGGTAAGGGCTTACCCCCAGTGTGTAAGGTCTTGCTAGCACCAAGCTGGCTGCGTTGTGGGTAAGGATGGGGGTTTGGGACTGTCGGCATTTGTACATTTTCACGTTATCACGGCAGAGAAATCCCTCATATGAAAGGGTTGTGTTGCGCACACAGGTCTGTGTCTGGCTGTGGGTGTGGTTGTGACAGGGTTTTGTTTGCCAGGGTGGAGAAGTGCCCTTGTGTGGAGGGAGGGGTTTGTGCATGTTCAAGTCAGTTGTGTCTGGATTGTGTGTCTGTGTGTGTCATCTATATTATAGATGGTGTGTCTGACTCTGTGAATGTGGCATGCCGGGGATACCTGTCTCTCTTTGTGAACGTTATGCCTGGGATTATGTGTTATGTACACAAGTCTGTGTGTGTGTGTGTGTGTGTGTGTGTACACATAGCTGTGCATTCAGGTTATGTACCTGGTGGACAGTCATTGTGTCTGAGTTTCAGGGGGTGGGCATGTCGGTCTGTCACTGGAAACAATTCAGAAACAACCAATGGTCCTGCAGCACTTTAGAGACTCACAACACATGTCGATGGGACCACAACCTTTCCGGGGGGAAGTGGGTTGTGCCCACAAGAGCTCAGGATCCCATCTGCCTGTGTGTGTTGTGAGTCTCTGAGGTGCTGCAGGGCCATCTGTTGTGTCTGAGTGGTGGATGGGGATCCCTGGGTCACGGGGGTTTTAGTGGGCGGTGGGTTGTGTAGGGCTGTGAGTGCTGTGTGCGGGGGCAGTCGCACACAGGCTGTGTGTGTGTGTGTGTGGCCCTGTGCTCTGTTTGGGTGAGTGAGACGCACTGGGGTGGGGACAGGGGCGCCCCAATGGGGGGAGGGATTTTGGGACTGGCCCCTCATCTCACGGTCTCCGGTGGTCCCTCACCTGCATCTGGGGCACTTCTGTGGGCCTCGGTGCCCTTTGCCCCACATCCCCTACCCCATAGCCCTGCTGGTACCCCTCTCCCCCCCCTCAGCCCTGCCAGTGCCCCTCACTCCCACCCCACGGCTCCTGCCCCCCCCTGCCGGTGCCCCTCACTCCTGCCCCACACCCCAGCGCTGGGTTCTCCCCCGCTGCTCCTCTCCTGATGTAATTACTTGTTAATTACTCACCCCCTCCCCACATCCGAGTTTCCAGCCTCTGATGTTTCCCTGCGTTCCCACAGGTTCCCCACTCCAGCGCTGCTCCTGCCCTGACCCGGCCATCGCCAGGCCCCCGAGCCACAGGGCCACGGCTCGAGATCAGGCATGACGCCGTGATACGCCCTGGCAGTGGGGCCCAGTGGTTAGAGCCTCTGGGAGAGGATTAGGGTAAGGGAGTTGTTCTGGGACTGGGAACTGTGTGGGGCGGGGGCATTTTCGCACCGAGGCCAGGGCGCTTAAAGGTTAATTCTCAGCCTTCCTGGGGCATGCTGGGAGTAGTAGTCTTTAGGGGGAGATGCATCATTGTGGAGTGTCCCATTGGTCCCCGCCTCCCCTGCCTGCTGGAGTGTGTGTGGTGGTGCGGAGGGAGGGGGGAGTGCATGCCACGCTGGGTCCCATTCTGGTTTCCGTTCCCTGGGGGGCACAGGGGAAGGGGGCAGGGCCCCACGCGATCGCCTCCAACCAAGGCGTGCCCGTACCCTGCACTGTGTGGGCACGTAGGAACCGGAGGCAAAGCAGTGAGAATAAGGAGGAACGGGACAGCCGCACCCCGCGCCCCCGGGTCCTGACTTGCAGCCACTTCTGGGGTGGAACACGCTGGAGCCGGCCTAGCTGGGAGCCCCGCTGCATGGATGTCGTGATCAGGAAGCCAGCAGGGCAGTAGGAATGCCACAGCCGCCCGTCGGGAGCATTTCAAACAGCCCCAGGAGGTAAAGCGCTGCGAGCGTGGAACGAAAGTTCCTCGGGAAAGGGGCTGGGAGGGTCCTGACTTGCAGCCACTTCTGGGGTGGAACACGCTGGAGCCGGCCTAGCTGGGAGCCCCGCTGCATGGATGTCGTGATCAGGAAGCCAGCAGGGCAGTAGGAATGCCACAGCCGCCCGTCGGGAGCATTTCAAACAGCCCCAGGAGGTAAAGCGCTGCGAGCGTGGAACGAAAGTTCCTCGGGAAAGGGGCTGGGAGGCAGCTTCGCCCTCCCACAAAGGCGTGCCCGGACCCCCCATGTTCAGGCACGTAAGAACCGGAGGCAGATGAACCGGAGCGGAGAGTCACAAGATGGGCCAGCTGGAATCTGAGCTGTTCCAGTCTCTCTAATCGCACATGCTCAGTAGTGGAGACTGGCTGACACCAGGGTGGGAGGGGCAGGGAATGGGGCAGGGGCCTTTCCCCGGGTGAGGGTCGTAGCCTTCCTGCCCCCCACTGCAAAGCGGGGTCACTGTCTCGGGGGCTCCTCCCATGCACCCCCTAATGCTGCTGCATCCAGGCCCCCCTCTGCCCCGGTGCTGAGACTATGGTCTGTGGGGCACTTCTCTCCCCGCCTCCCGCTTCTAACCCACCTTCCTTCTCCCCTAGGCTCCCGGGACCCTGCCGACACGGCCCAGGAAGGGAGAGAACCAACGGGACAGCCAGGAACAAATGGATGAGGGGAGGAGGAAGGTGCCATAACAATGCTGACCACTGGATGGCGCCCTCACTCTGGGCAAGGGCCAGTCAGGACAAAGAGATGGGGAAGCTGCAATACAGGCATGGGCCACTGGGTGGCGCCTTGGCAGGCAGTGTTGAGCTGGGAATTCACTGCTAGGAGAGTGGTGTGATTCCACGCCCCCGTATCGCCTCTCTCCAGAGGGGATCCCATTACAGCCAGATTCCCCCTGCACGCACACACCTATGGGGATCCCATTCCAGCCAAAATGCTCTCTAGTCAGCCCCCTCCTGTGACTGACGTTTTTTATTCCAGAAGTTAGTGCTTTTGATTGGGTACAGAGAACATCCCATTGCTTCTATATAAAATGTTTCCCTACGAGCCACTTCCGTGAAACATAAGATGCTGCTGCAGCTCTGGTGGAAAAAGACCCCACAACGGGCAGCCCTGGAATTAGAACCAACTCAGAACACGGCTCTGGGCATCATATCCCCCAGCTAGAAATGGTCATTGCAAACACCGTATGACCCCAGTAAGAAACCAAGTCCAGACGACTCCCTAAAACTTGGAGTTGTAGCTAAGGAGCACCCAAGTACCTGCCTACAAGCTAATGAGCAAAGCCCAGGCTCCCCTTTGTTAATGTCAGGTTAGAGACAGAAGCCCAGTGAATGTGTTATCTGGTCACAAGGGAACTCTGACTCCATTTACAGAGAAACCTGGGACCAGGTCCAAGAACCAGCTTATCTCTGAACCTTCATAAATGTCGGTTTAGTCTTTGGGAAACAATTCGCTCTTCCAGCTGGCCAAAGAGCAGTAACGAACACTGCTTTAACGAATCACGCATAAACAAGGCAACGAATTATCTGCCTGGATCCAAAGGGCAATCACATGAGCCTGGATAAGCCTGGGGCCGGATCTTTCAGAGGATAAATGTAAGATAACCCCTCAATAAACCTTTTAATAGTAAACATGTGTGAACAATGCGATGCAATGAACCCACACACGGCAAGGTGACACAGTAGCCAGATGGACGTTTACAGAAGAATTAGACAATCCTGCAGACATTAAGTGTGTTAAATATTCCAAAATACAGGGTAGTCCCATGGAGAATATAATTAATTATAATAAATAATGAATTCTAATTAATAGCTTTGCTTGAATGAGAAATAAATGTTAGATAGACACAGGGGGTGGGTGGGGATAGATAGATAGATGGTGTGTGTGGGGATAGATGGATTAGGTAGATAGAGGGGGTATGTGGGGATAGATAGATCCATAAGATTAGATTAGATAGAAGGGTGTGCGGGGATAGATAGAGGGTGTGGGTGGGGATAGATAGATTATGTGGAGTTAGATTAGATAACTAGAGGGTGTGGGGGAATAGATATATCTATTAGATTAGATTAGGATTAGATTAGATAGAGGGAGTGTGTAGTGATAGATAGATGGTGTGTGTGGAGTTAGATTAGATTAGATAGAGGGAGTGTGTGGGGATAGATAAATAGATAGGATCCTGCACTTTCATGGGTAAAACCCACTTCCTCCAATGAGGACAGGGTGGAGAGTTAGGGAACTATGTATATATCTATATCTCCTGAGCTTTCACGGGCAAGACCCACTTCCTCAGATGAGAACGAGATGGAGAGTTAGGGAACTGTGTATATATATATCTCCTGAGCTTTCATGGGTAAAAGCCACTTCCTCAGAGGAGGACGGGGTGTGGAAGCTGCCCTGGAGAGGGAGATTTCGAGGTCATCTGTTCCAGTTGGTCCCGTGAGCTGCTCTTGAGAACGCAGCAGAGCGTTCTGGAGCGACGAGGACCGTGGCTGTGCGAGACGGCCGAGGACGCTGTCGGGTGACGTGCCTGCGGCTCTGGACACAGAGTCCTGACTTGTGTAAAATAATCCGGAGAGCCACAGTGGGTGCTGGGCTGGATTGACATTGTGTGGGCCCGGCACCGCACACTTTTGTGGGCCTTTGTGGGAGGAGGGTAATGGAATATGGCTGGGGGAGGTTGGAGCAGGCCTGGGGCACCCTCACTCCCCACAGTGAAGGAAGCTTTTTGGGAGGGAGGAACCACCGACTTCTCCAGCCTGCCCCTTCTACAGAGCCACAGAGAGAGCTGGGCCGGGATGGTCACAGACAGGAGCAGCAGCAGCCGAGGGCTCCTGTCTTCCCCGGCTGCCTGTCGGTGTGGGGGGCAGGGAGGAGCTCTTCGCCAGCCGCCAGGAGTAAACAGTGGGAGGAGAGATTCCACCCCCTCCCTAGGGAACCCGTCCCAGTGCTTCCCCATCTTCCGGATGTGGCCTCCCTAAAGTCAAATAAAGGGGAATAATCACGTCTCTGGATCTGCTGGCAATGCGCCTCCTAATGCAACCGAATATGCCATTCGCTTCTTGGCTACAAGGGCACACTGTTGACTCATCTCCAGCTTCTCATCCACTGTAACCCCAGGGCCTTTTGTGCAGAACTGCTGCTTGGCCAGTCGGTCCCCAGCCTGTAACAATACTTGGGATTCTTCCGTCCCAAGGGCAGGACTCTGCACTTGTCCTTGTTGAACTTCATTGATTTCCGCCGTCCCCATCCTCCAATTTGCCTAGAAAGGGCTGTGAGGTCTACTGGTTAGAGCGGGAGCCAGGGAATCAGGACTCCTGGGTTCTGTCCCCAGCAGTGGGAGAAGACTGAGGTCCAGGGGGCTGGAGTATATGTGTGTGTGTGCGGGGGTCAGTGCCAGAGTTCAGGTGCCCGCTCTGAGAGGTGACCCCAACGAAGGGGGTGCTGAAAACGGGTTGCTAGGGCATCCGGTCACCTCTCCGGTGGGGGTGGGAAATGGCTGTGCACATGTCACAAGGCTGGTCCAATTTCCCCAGCCTGGCGCCGTGGCGGGTTTCACCCGCTCAGTGGGCCCCTCAGGAGGTGAAAGGGTTACAGCCCCAGAGCAGGGCCAGGGGTGTTTGTCGGACTGGCTGGGAGGGGCCCTGGGAAGAGGGACAGATGGCCAGCCTGGGAAAGGTGGAGTCACGCCCAGGATGTAACTCCGATTGCTGGGCCCAGGAGCAACAGCTGTTAGTCCCTGGAGCCATATGGAAGAGGAAGGGCTGGTGGGGTGGGGTGTGGGTAGAAATGGGGAAGTCTCGTTTAGAGACCAGGGCAAACAGCACAGGAGAAGGGTTGAGAACTCTCGGATGCCCTGCAGGCGAGTCCTGTGCCCAACTGGACCTGGATTTTAGGGTGGCGGGAAGGAAACACCCCAGCTGGGATTCACCCGGGTTGGGGAGGGTTTGTGCCCATACGCTGGACAAAGGGTTTCTCATTGGATGCTGGGATTTCATGCAGAGACGCTGACACACCAATAGGAGGTGCCCTTGTTTGACAGAGCCCTGTACAAATACCCACCCGACGTGGGCACTGGGTCAGTTGCCGGAGGGACGAGGTTCGACGCAGACACAAAGGTAAGAGGAGGGGACAGTTAGCGGAAAGTCTTTAGCACGGGAATTTGTCTTTTTGGCCTGGGTTTGTACGGTGCCGTGCACTGCCGGGTCCTGGTCGGGAACTGGGCACCATGGAATGCAAATGAATAAACACCCATATTTCAGTGCACGTTTGTGGTGGGGACATGGAGAGCTCAGGAAAAAGACTTGAATGGAGACGCTGTGCCGAGATGGGCTGGGGACAGAAGGAGCCCACAATCCATGGGTCCAGCCAGGGCAGCAGAGTTGGGGCAGACACGAGGCTAGCTGGGCCCGCTGCTCTGATGCTGGGCAGCTGTTTCTGCAGAACCCTGGGACACTCCCTGCCCCCTCTTAAAGAAACAGAGCTTTTTTGAGTCTGGACTCTTTATTTTATTTTTTATTTTTTTTGACAAATCGCGCTGGGCACTTTTTTTTTTTTTTAGGCAACTCTAGGGGTTCCGTGGCCAAATAAAATTGAGAAACATTGTTCTACTGTGTCCTAGTTGAAGGATACAGGACCAATGGGTTCATGCCAGGCTGTAGGAGGTGTGATCTGACAGATCAATGGCTCGATTCAGGACGATGGATTCAGTTGTCAGACTCTCGTCTCAGCTATAACGCTGCAAACCCAGAGCAGGTCTACTAATGTCACTGGGATCCCTCTGGATTTATACCAGGGTCTCCAAGATCTGGATCTGGCCTTGAATTCACAAGTGTCAGTGGGGTCTCCCAGATCTGAATCTGGCCCTGCCGTCACTGGAGTGACTCCAGATTGAGACCAGAGCCCTGAGCTTAGAATCCCTCCCTGAATCCATTGACATCCCCGTCACTCTGGATTTACAGGAGGGTCGTTGATGTTGGTGGAGGTACATGGGATCACCTCTGCTGAAAAGGGAATTTTCAGAGGTGCTGAAACCCCCACAGCAGCTCTGCACTTCCTGGTTTCCTAGCACTTGATCTGTGGCATTTAAACACTGGGAAGCAGGAAGCTACAATGATTATAAGGAACCAATTTCCTCCACAGTTCTTATTGGTGCGGGAATTGTGATTTCCCCGGGCAAAGGGGCAGCTATTGGTCCATGATGCATGGTCGGGAGGTCTGTGGACCCAGGGTGGGAAAGTCCTGGTGTTCTTTCTCCTGTCCATGGTACTGAAAGTTCTCTCCTTCATGCAGGTCCTACGCCTCCTATCTCCGGCGCGCTCACCATGGCTTTTTTGACCCAGGACCAACAAAGTATGATCACCCGGGGGATGAAGTCCCTGGTGTCTCTGGCCAGGGAGCTGAGCTCTTCCAGTGTCAACCCAGACGCTCACAAGGAGATGCAGGGACACGCCCGGCGTGCGTGCGAGGAAATGAAAGCTGTGGAGAGCCAGCTGGAAAGCCAGAAGCACATCGTGGACTCCCACTACGTGACCCTGCTGGAGAAGAGGGCACACCTGAACAATGAAAAGAGTCAAAGAGAATTAAGCCAGGCGCTCTTACAGATCCAACTGAAACATCACGCGAACACCAAGGCCTACGCCCAAGAAATGCTCAGCGCGGCAGAGGGGCACCTGAAGGAGCTCCAGGATTTGCAGAAGGAGGTGAGGAAGGAGAAAAACTGGCTTAAAATGGCAAGAACCATCGCCCTGCTGTTCATGCCTCTTTCCACGCTCATGGGTAGGTATCGACCGAGCCCGCCCCATCGCATGGGACACAGCCAGTCAACAGCACTGCTGGAAGGTCCCTTGTGTCAGCAGCTCAGTGCTGGTTGTAACCCACTGGGGAGAAGGAAAGAGCTGGCATAGGTGTCAGGGAATGGGGCCACACAGCTTTAGGTGCATCTTTGCAGCAGCTACTTCCACTCTCTGCTTTGCAATCTCGGCAGAGGCTGAGCAGGGCAGAGACCAGGCGGCCGGGGGAAGCGCATTGGCAGATGGCTGGGGAGGTGGGGGGGAGAAAGTGGGGACTGTTTGGATGTGGAGGGGAGACACAGAGAGAATCAACCCACTGCGGGTATCGAATCCCTAACTCCAGGTCTATAGCTAGGAGCCTCTGCTGGCTGAACTAAAAAATCCCAGCTCCATTAGGCACAGCTACAGCAGGTCTGGTTTTTTCCCCTTGTGAAAATTAAATAGCCCCCCAAAAAAACTCCCCCCCAACCCTACGTCACAGAAATCCAAAACCCGATAGCTAACATATTTTGACTGTGAAAAGCTGCAGCAGTGCTTCATGAGAGCTTTGGTTCCTGCGCCGTACGCTCCCGTTCACCTGTATCGATTACTCCCTAGTCAGAGTCCGTCTTCCACCATGCACTGTTCCCCTTGGGTGAGGGGTGAGGGTCCCTCATGGAGTCCTCTGCCACAGTGCATCATGGGAGTCCTCTGCCATAGTGCATCATGGGAGATTGAGTCTGGCTATGCTGCCAGCCCATAGACGTGAATGGGAACGCAAGGTGCAAACTACAATGCCCATGGAAAGAGGACAAAGGATGAATATTGTTCAGTATATTCTCACATGAGCTAGAAAAAAGGGTGAAGAGGGAGGTGTCAAAATTTGCAGAGGGTACAAAATTCCTATGGAATTTGCCTATTCTCTTTCAACGCTCTAGTATAGTCTAGATCAGCCCATCAAGTCCTTGTGGATCGTTCTCTGAAAACATCCACTCGGTGCGCAGCAGCAGTCAAAAAAGCCAACAGAATGTTAGGAGTCATTTAAAAAGGGATAGAGAATAAGACAGAAAATATTTTATTGCCTCTGTATAAATCTATGGGACGCCCACATCTTGAATACTGCGTACAGATGTGGTTGCCTCGTCTCAAAAAAAGATATTGACATTGGAAAAAGTTCAGAAAAGGGCAACAAAAAAGATGTGGAGTTTGGAATGGGTGCCATATGAGGAGAGAATAAAAAACCTGGGACTTTTCAGCTTAGAAAAGAGGAGACTAAGGGTATGTCTACACAGCAAAGTTATTTCGAAATAACTTTCCTAGCGTCTACACAAACCAACTGCTATTTTGAAATTAATTCGAAATAGCGAAGGGCTTATTTCGAAATTGGTAAACCTCATTCCATGAGGAATAGCGCCAATTTCAAAACTGCTATTTTGAAATAAGTGCTGTGTAGATGCTTATTTCGAAATAAGGGGCTTCCAGCCCTTCGCAGGGTGCCCTGCTGACCGCTCTGGCCACAAGGTAACTTCTGACCTGATGAACCAGTTCCAGCTGGCCTTAAATGTGATTCAGCATCCAATCAGTGTGGATGCGCTATTTCAAAATAGCAAAAAGCTATTTTGAAATGCATGTTGTGTATAGACGCGTTATTTTGAAATAAGATATTTCAAAATAACTATTTCAAAATTAGATATTTCAAAATAACGCTGTAGTGTAGAAATACCCTAAGGGGCGCTAGGACAAAGGTCTATAAAATCATGACTGGTATTCAGAAGGTGAATAAGGAAAAATGGTTTACTTGTTCCCATAACATAAGAACTAGGGGTCACCAAATGAAATTAATAGGCAGCAAGTTTAAAACAAACAAAAGGAAGTATTTCTTCATGCAGCACAGAGTAAACCTGTGGAACTCCTTGCCAGAGGATGTTGTCAAAAGGCCAAGACTGTAACAGGCTACAAGAAAGATCTAGATAAATTCATGGGGGATAGGTCCATCAAGAGCTGTGAGCCAGAACAGGCAGGAAAGGTGTCCCTAGCCTCTGTTTGTCAGAAGTTGGAAATGGGCGACTGGGGAGGGATGATGTAATGATTCCCTGTTCTGTTCACTCCCTCTGGGGCACCTGGAATTGGCTGACAGGATCCTGAGCTAGATGGACCTTTGGTCTGGCCCAATATGTCTGTTCTTATGTGGCAATACAACTCTTGTTTTTGGCCACAGTATTTCAGTTTTTGGCTGAAGTAGTTTGATGGAAAGCTGCCATTTTCTGTGGAAAGCAGAAACTTTTGGAAAAAGTGTCATGTAGATAAAATCCCAATGTCCTCTCAGAAATGGATTTTTTTTTTTTTGGCCAGTTTTATATGTGACATGTAAGAATGGCCCTTTCGTTTCAGCTGGGATCGTAGCCGCCATTTTCCAGACCTCTCTGAACATGGCTCAGAGAGCTGACCGGGAGCTGCAAAAAGCTATTGATCTGTACAACACCAAAATCTCTGAATACAAACAAAGCCTTTGCAGATACGACCTTGAGAAGGAAGAAATTGACGTGAAGAGTCATGCTGATGAGAAAAAAATGGAGGCGCTCACGAGGGAACTTTTAGAACTGGAGAAGACAATGGAAAAGAAGGAGCAGTTTCTCCGCAACCTGTCTCTGCTGGTCGGGAACTTAGAGGTACTTGAGTCAAAGTTGGACATAGACTATGAAACTACCTGGGAGGTTCTGGCAGTGGATGTGCTTGAAAGCCTGGAAGGGGACCAGAGGTTGTTGAACTTCCTGGATGGAAAGGAAATCCGGAGCCTGGTCCAGGATCTAAAAAAAATCATTAAGTCAAGGGCAGCCATCTAGAGCAAGGCTGCTGACAGAGGTGAATGGGATGTGTCTAATTCAGATTAAAGTCAGTGGGATTGTATTTATAGTGGAGTAACGGATCAGCATTCAACTGCAGCCCCATGGAGTACTGCGGGGTTGCTCCAGATGTATAGTAGGATAAAGTGGAAATCAGAGGGGTGGGGGAAGTGAGTGAAAGGGTTTCACCTGCTGAGAAGGGGGACCCCATAAAACCGCTTTATACATCATGACTTCTGCATCTGGCTTAGGAAATGCGACCTATCTTTGCAAATCATAGCATCATCGTGCACTACAACGGGAAGGGACCTCGAGAGTCCTCATGGCAGGACCCAGCACCGTCTAGAGCAGCGGTTCCCAACCTTTTCCAGAAGGGGATCCATTTTGACAATTCAGGAAGACTTGGTGACCCAAAACAATTCAAGAACGGGGGGAGGAAGCGGGGCAGAGCCACCTGGGGAGACACTTGGCCACCCTTTCGAAATGTAATGGCGACCCATATTTGGGTCCCTAGGAAATCCTAGTAGACCATCCCTGACAGGTGTCTGTCTAACCAGCTCTTACATATCTCCAGAGATGGAGACTCCACAACCCCCCTAGGCAATTTATTCCAGTGCTTCACCACCCTGACAGGCAGGAATTTTTTCCTAATGTCCAACCTAAACCTCCCTTGCTGCAGTTTAAGCCCCTTGCTTTTTGTCCTGTCCTCAGAGGCAAAGGAGAACAATTCCCCCCCCTCCTTGTGACCCCCTTTTAGATACTTGAAAACCGCTATCATGTCCCCCCTCAGTCTTCTCCTTTCCAAACTAAACAAGCCCAATTCTTTCAGTCTCCCCTCATCGCTCATGTTTTCTAGACCTTGCATCATTCTTGTTGCTCATTCATCATGTAGATTTCTTACATCTTGGTGATTGGGCAACAAACAGGAAAATGGGAGGTTGTCAATGTAAGTCAGGAGTCACTGGGGCTACGTCTAGACTGCAAGCCTCTTTCGAAAGAGGCTTTTTCAAAAGATACTTTCGAAAAAGCCTCTTTCGAAAACGAGCGTCTCGACTACAACCAGTACTTTCAAAAAAGCAAGCTACTTTTTCGAAAGAGAGCACGCAGACAGTCTGGATGCTCTCTTTTGAAAAAGCAGTTTGCATTACAAAGCGCCTTTTTTCAAAAGAGCACTTTCGAAAAAGGCATTCTTCCTTGTAAAACGAGGTTTTCCGTGGTCGAAAAAGCTGCCGTGTTCTTTCGATTGACTTTCGAAAGAACGCGGCAGCAGTCTAGATGCAGGGGAAGTTTTTTCAAAAAAACCCTGTAGTCCAGACACACCCTGGGACACAGCATGCAAGGTAGGTAGTGACCGTGGATGCAGGACAGACACAGAGGTGGTCAACAATAGGAAGTTGGCAGCAGAGGTGGTGGGAAGCAGGAGACGGTGAGTACTGGGGTGACAGACTTAACAAGACAGACTGGGGAGGGAATGGGGTTAGTGGGATAGAGGGGTATCTGAGGATGGGTTTGGCAGGTTTGATAATACAGACACAGAGTACCAGGGTTGGCTTGTCGGCGTCCGAGCATTCTGGGCCTGGAGGTGGAGGAATGCGCAGTGAGAAGACGGGGTCAGTGAGTGAGTGGGTTGGTGGACAGATAACATTTTATTTTCACATTTGCATAGTCATTACTTGCATAATGCATATGTAAATATGCAAATAGAATGTTACCAGTCTGCTAAAAGTTTGTGAGTGGGTTTGCTTGTCCGTGTCATTAAAAAAAGTTGGGGACCACTGATCTAGCGGGTGTTGGGTCCTGCCGTGAGGGCAGGGGACTCAACTCAATGATTTCTCAAGGTCCCTTCCCGTTGTCGTGTTCTATTAATACTCATTTGATTTTAATTACTATAGTATAAAAACTCACTTCCAATGTTCATCTGTCCACCCCTGCTCTCCTTTCACCTCCTGTCGAAGAGAGCCCTTAAAGGGACAACTGTCCTTTTCTTCCAGATAGCTGGACAAACGGGTTTCCCTTTTCCTTCTGACTATTTGATGAAGTCGTTTCAAGAGAACCCTCCAGCAAAACCAGTACCGTTCTAAGATATAAAATCCTTTGATATGTGTAAAATCTTTGGAAACATATAAATATTTCTGAAAATTTGTTTGTGTGTGTGTGTGTGTTTGTGTGTCCCGAAAGATCTCCAAAATGGTAAGAGCTAGAAACATCAAATTTTGAACAGGTACTACTGCTGGAAATTAAAGTTGCTTCCCTCTCCCCACACCCAAATGAGCCATCCCACCACTCGCCCTCCTTTGGGCTGTGTGCGTTCTCCTGGCCGGGCTGTGTGCGTTACCAGCAAGCGCCATGGGCATTATGCACTTTGCAGGATTCAGCTCACAGTACAAAGAGGAGGTGCGCAGAACAAGGTTTTGAGTGCTGTGGAGCCTGATGAGGACACAGTACACTCAGAACAGCCTATTCTCATTAGAACAGGTACCTTCAGGTGCTGCATGTTCTGATAATTTAGGGTGTGTCTAGACTACAGGGTTTTGTCGACAAAAGTGGACTACACCGCCGCCGAGTTCTGTGGATGTAACATCAACAGAACACGGCAGTTTTGTCGACGGCAGTAAACCTCATTCTACAAGGAATAACGCCTTCTGCCAACGGAGTTCTGTTGACAGAAGGCGTTATTGCATCTACACTGTCCTTTGCGTCTTCACTGTCATGTCGACAAAACGGCTTTGTCTAGACGCTCTTTGTCGACAGAAGCTTTGTCGAAGTATCTGTCGACAAAACTTCTGTCGACAAAAGCCTGTAGTCTAGACGGACCCCTAGATATCACTAACTGCACCTAGTCGGAAGGTGTTTCGCTTTGTCTGATCAATGCAATTGGTCCAGCTGCCGCTAGGAAGTCCATTCCGGTTGCCCCATGGAGCGTGCACTGAAGGCACTCGGGGAGTGGCTACTTGGGGAGCAGTGATTTGCTGCTGCTGTAGATCCCAGGAGACACCCCCTCCATTTCTCAGGGCTTCTGCAAGGAGGCTACGGGCATTGGTTTGCATAGAGTCTTTAAGGGAAGATGGGCCTTCCTGATCTGTGGGGATTGAGAAAAGAGACCCTATGGGATTTGTCATTTTGTAAGCACATCACTAGCTATGTTAATTTCTTCAAGTAATATATCAGCGAAAAGTATTTCCAATAAAATATGCAATGTTAATGTCATTGACATAGTGCATTCATCACACCTTTTACTATATTTTACTATAACTGCTATTATTTCAAAATAACTTTGCTGTGTAGACATACTCTTATTTCGAAATAGTACACTCCTCCTCCAACTTCCCTTATTCCTTGTACAATGGAGGTTACAGGAGCTGGAGTAAGAAGTCCTCCAGCTTGACAGTATTTTGACATGATTTTGAAATAACTGCCTTCTGTGGAGACGCGGACTAAATTATTTCAAAATAGTGTTGCAGTGTAGCTGTACCCTAAGCGGGGAGATGATAAAGGTCTATAAAATCATGATTGGTGTGGAAAAAGTAAATAAGAAAAAGTTATGTACTTGGTTCCATAATATATGAACTAGGGGTCACCAAATTAAATTAATAGGCAGCAGGTTTAAAACAAACAAAAGTTCTGATTTACACAGTGCACAGTCAACCTGTGGAACTCCTTGCTAGAGGATGTAGTGAAGATCAGGACTTTAATGGGGTTCAAAAAAGAGCTAGATAAATTCATGGAGGTTAGGTCCATTAATGGCTATTAGCCAGGATGAGTAGAAATGGTGTCCCTAGCCTCTGTCTGGAAATGGATGACAGGGGAGGGATCACATGATTATTCCCTGTTTGTTCATTCCCTCTGGGGCACCTGGCATTGGCCACTGTTGGAAGACAGGACACTGGGCTAGATGGACCTTTTGTGGCCATTGATATGTTCCTAAATATGGCCTGCACTCTTTATTCCTAGATGTATGGCTTTACATTTAGCTATATACCAATGTACTGGGTTTGCTTGTGCCCTGTATACAAAGCATCCAGTCATTCTGTATCAATGATGTGTCCTTGTCACTACTGACCACTCCCCCCACCTTTGTGTGGTCTGCAAACTTTACCCCTGACCATTTTCTGTTTTCTTCTATAAAAATGTTAAATAGGGTAGAGCCACGTTCTGTGCAGGGTCCAGTGAATATTGCATTTCCTGCATGCCAGGCTCATTGTGGGTCGGCCTAGTTTCTTAAGAAGATGCCACTTAGTACAAAGTCTCAAAGAAATCTCAGCCTGTTGCATCAGCACTCGTACGTTTATAACCTTGTTGTAATCTCTCACTTTACAAGGGGCTCATATTCAGCCTCAGTAATCTGAGATTCCCACAAGCTCATTCCCACAAGCTATATCCTGAAGTCCTGTTTCACTAGCAACTTGCCAGTGTCTAGAGACCAGCTCTGACTGAAAGAGGCATCAGACGCTGAAGAAAAGCCACACAATTCCATGCCCCAGAAGGGTGAGTTACACTCGCTGTTAGGTGTGAGTAAGGGAGAAGATGAACAAAAAGCCTAGACCAGTGTTTCTTAAACTTTTTAAGACCAAGGAACACCAAACAATATTTTTTTTATGGGGAACACCAAGGATTTTTTGTTGAGCAAAACAACAACAACAAAAAAGGTCCCCTCCCCTGTAAAGGTGGCCATTTTGAGCTCTCTGTAGCACACTGGTGTTCCACAGAACACAGTTTAAGAAACACAGGTCTAGACGATGGAGTTTTTCTATCCCAGAAAAACTCTGCTGAGTCCAGGGAACACATCTGCTCTTCTGCTTTTTTTTTTTTTTGCAGAAGAGCAGGTGCTCTCTTTCGGAAGTCCTGTATTCCTCATTTCACCCCGTGTCAACAGGCCAAATGTCGGAAAATCCTCTTCCGACAAAACTATCAGAAAAAGGTATGCAAATTGCAGAGTGCAATTTGTGTACCTTTTTCTGACTAAAAACCTCAGTCTAGACATAGCCAGGAGCTTCAGGGGGTAGCCGAGTTAGTCTGTTACAGAAAAAAGACAAGTGGTCTGGTAGCACATTATAGACTAACAAAACAAGTAGATGAGATCATGAGCTTTCGTGGGCACAGCCCACTTCTTTAGATGACCGGAGTTATGAGTAGGGGATATGAAAACTCAAAATAAATAGGAGAAGGGAAAGGAGCGGGGGAGAGAGAAAGATGCTCTGTCTCCCAATCCCCTTCCTTTTTTTCTCTAAGTATCTGGAGAATAGGTGCTAAACCTAAGCAGCTAAAAATCAAAGTCAGTCGATAGATTGCTAAGGCAGGAAGGATACCACTCAGAAAGCTGTTAGCACCCTCAGTGATAGAGTCCCTGCCATCCTATGTCTGGATTGAATCCATTAGCATGTGAATTGAATTTGTGTATGTAATGTAATTCCAAGCTTTTCCTGTGTGCTTAGGTTTCGCACCCATTCCCCAGATACTTAAAGAAAAAAAAAGGATCTTGTGTGTGTGTGTGTGTGTGTGTGTGTGTGTGTGTGTGTGTGTGTGTGTGTGTGACAGAGCATCATTCTCTTCCCCATCTTTCCCTTCTCCTATTTATTTTGAGTTTCCATATCCCCTACTCATAACTCCAGCCATCTGAAGAAGTGGGCTGTGCCCACGAAAGCTCATGATCCCACCTACATGATTTGTTCGTCTATAAAGTGCTACCAGACTATTTGTTGTTTTTTTAGACATAGCCAAAGAGAGACTGCTCTGAACAGCCAACAGTCTATGGACCACACAGCCCCCTGGTGGGGGAATGCAGAAACCCACAGGCGGAGGGGTTAGTGGGATGACAGCGGGAGTGGAGGTGCAGAGGTTGAGGGTTACGTGAGGAGGGTGTGGGGTGTCGGGTGCGGACTCTAGCCAGCAGGTGCTTACCTGGGTGGCTCCAGGCTAGCAGCCCGGCAGGTTTCTCAGGCAGGCAGCCTGCCTGCCCCACCCATGCACATGCTCAAAGCAGCCAGCCCCAGGGGCCAGGTGGGATGCTGTGAGCCTGGGGGGAGGGGAGCGAGGTACTTCATACAGGGCGTATCCTGCAAACAAGAGCTCCCATTGGCTGGAAACTAGTTAAATGCACAACAGTCTAGAGCAGAGTTTCTCAGCCAGTGGTGCGAGTCCCCTCGGGGGTACTTGAGAGAAGTCTGGGGGGTACGTCAACACCACTGAAATGTGGAGAAAACTGAATTTTGTTTCAAGTTTTACAGCATTTTATTATTTTTGTACGTTTTACACCCAAAAACGTCATCGCCCGCCCGGCTACAATAAAGTTGTTTAAACAAATGTGTTGCAATGGTAGAAAAAATAAAGGTGTGTCTGAAAACTGTAGGTATGAGGGGCACTTAAAATTTTTTTAAAGGGGTACTTACAATGTTTTTAAAGGGGTACTTTATAAAAAAAGGTTGAGAAACACTGGTATAGACCAAGCAAGACCCACAGCAGAACAGTCCATAGGTTGAAGGCCTCTGCTGAATGCCAGAAAACCCCTTTTTATCATCAGGCTGGCGCAGAGGGGGGTAGGAAGGGGAAGAGCATGGGTCTCCAGCATCCCAGGCAAGTAGCCTAGTCCCTGGACTAAAGATTTTAAGAGAGGATGTCGCCCCTTCTGACAGGTTTGCGTGGTGCTTAGCCTGCCTCACCACCATTCTGGCAAGAAATGGCCGACTGTTGGTCTTAGCCGCCTGACTCCAGGCTGCGGATCCTAAGTGGGGATAGACCAGGCAAGACCCAGAGAGGGGATTGGGACAATTCACCGCTCTGCTGTGATCACGACATTGTGTCCCAAACTCTGCTCCCCATCCATGGTATAGAGCAGTGTTTCCCAATTTATTTTGGCCGCGGAACCCTTTAAGAATATTGAGGAACCCCTGCCAAGAAAATTTGTCCAAAAAAAAAAGGCATCTGTCTCTTTAAGGGGTGGGGCGGTCCAAGTTCTTGCGGAACCCCTTACTTTCACTTGGCGGAACCCCAGGGTTCCACAGCGCACCATTTGGGAAACACTGGTATAGAGAGTTAAGGTGCCCCACACCAATGACTGTGAGCGCCTTGGGTGATGGGCCATCAGGGGATAATTCTCTCCCCCATGTGCAAAGTTGCAGCCCGAGGTCTCCCGTCCTTATTTCGGGTGGAAGCAGGGGGAATGTACCCGTCACATCAGCCTAAAGCTAGGGGGGTGTTCTTATTCCGATCTGCAGATCGATTTTATGATGGATGGTTAAATGAATAAACGGGGGGAATGTGTTGATAAAAAAATCAGTGATTCTTGGACGCTTGTCCCGACTCTGATCTTAGAACACGTTTCTCCAACCTCTGGCACGTTTTCCTGGAGCCTTTTTGTGCTGGTTTTCACAGGGTTACGTGTTGCTGGCAATCTCAGGCTGGGACCAAAGCAGAGCTGAGCGTTGGCAAAGCAGACAAGTGGAGGAAGGAGACTCAGCAGATGATGGAGCCGTACACCGACTGGGCGGAGCACCTCGCGCCAGCCTCCATCATCCTGACCCACGTGGATCAGCTGACGTCCCTCTCTGTCGGTGGGGGAGATGTCTCCATCAACGACAGCCTTTCAGAACAGCCAAAATCTTTCGGGGCTTGCGTGGCGCTCGTGAACGCGGAAGTCTGGTGGTCCTTCTACAAAGCCCAAAACATCATGAACAGGATCGAAGGGCACTTCAGAGGGGTCTCCAGGACAATGGCAAAGACTCTCCTGGACTTCTCCCAGGAAGAAGTGGAGAAAACTTCCCCCACGAGTCAGCTAGAAACCAAACGACGGAGCATGCACAAAACATCACAGATATGCGAGGACTTGGCACGGCAGCTCGAAACCCCATTCTCTCCTGTGATTAACCTGCTCCAAAAGCTGCTGCAGGCCTTTGAAGCTGCCGAGAAGGGCTGCGAGGCTGAGCTGACGCGTGTACGAGCGCTGAAGGCAACCATCACCGTGAAGCCATTCAAGGAGGAGCCGGAGCCGGATGGAAGGAAGAGGAAACAGGAGCTGGACGAGGCCTTGAAGGATTACAAAAAAGCCTTCCCCACGTGGGGCATGTCTGCTAGCATGGGCTTGATACAGGCTCTAAAAACCGCCCTCACTAACTCCGAGGCAGGACCTGGGGCTATTACCACAGAGCAGAATGAAACTGACCCAACGGAGACAGCTTTCCAAGAAGTGAAGCTGAAGTGGGAGGCGTTGACGTCAGCCCTGGAGCAGGAGGAGAGGGAATTTCGGAGCCTCGAGAAGCAAAACCAGGAGCTGTCGGACACTGAATGTGACGCCAAGAAGCGCGAGGTGAGAGAAGGCGAGTTAGAGGCAGCCGGGAGGACCCTGATCCCGGGGATGGAGGCTCTGAGGAGCATGACGCAGCAGTGGGAGAACATGGCGCGATTCACGGAGCGCATCTCCGGGGAGATCAACTCCTGCTTCACAAACTATTCTGATGCCGTCCAACGATTCCAGCAGCTCACAAACCCCTCGGCAATGGACCAGATCTACAGCCAGACGCTCAGTGCGGCCAGCGTGGCTCAGTTTGTGCAGGAAATCTCTGACACCTACGTCACCGTCTCTAACACACACCTGATGCCTCTGTTGGAAGAGCTGAAGAAAATCACGACCAAGGAGATCACGACCAAGTCTTCCTACAAGAGTCTCCGATCCAAGGAAAAGATAGAGGAGACCCAGGAGAAAATCTCAACGCTGATGCGGGAGAAGGAGAAGGCGTTCAAGTATTCAGTAAAACAGCAGATGGAGACCATTGAGAAGGAGATAAAGGCCAAGCAGCCTCCGGTGAGTAGGGAGAAGCTGAAGGCGATGGAAGAGGCCCTACAGCAGGCAATGAGGGAGCTGTCCATTCAGTAGGAAGATCAATATGAATATGACATCCCAATGGGGTTCTAGCTATTGGCCCAACCGCGCAACGCTTCATGATGAAGAGATCACAGATTTCTCCTTCCTGTTGCTTTGATTTCTGCTTAGAGTGCCCAGCCAGCTGCTTTCTCGACGCTCGCTTGGAAAGCTCCATTCATCACCGAGTCGATTTTCTTGGGGAAGTCACACCAGGTCCCAGCTCTTCCATCCCCATTGACAACTTTGTAGATTTATTCTTGTCCAAGACGTTATTCTTTCTCCAAGTCTCTAGCTTTACACACCCCATGGGATGTGTCTACCAGCCCTTCCCTTGGGTAGATATTCCACTTTCCATCACCGGGGAGAAGGACGAGGTTTTCTGCAGACTCGTTTTAGGAACTGGGTGTGTGTTAGACGCACTCCTGATGTCCCTAACCCGATATCAGGGACCGTCCTTGTTTCCCTGTCTCACAGATGGGCCATTTATCCTTCCCCATAATGAAGGGTCTTGAAGCAACCTTATTGCAAGAATTGGGTGTAGGAAGATCCTGCTGCTTAGCTTAGTGTAGAGGAGAGATCTCCAGCTAGGAAGGGTTGGAGCTGGAATAGGACTTGGCAGTTGGGAGGAGGGCGGGTAATGACATTTGTTTTGCAGGAGGGAAAGAACAGTTGATCATGCACAAACCCAATGTTCCCTCAGTGGGAGAGGAAGAACCAGACTCCCTGACTGTTCCTGACAGAGACAGAGTCAGAAGAAACCTGGACCCAGAGTGCCCTGAAATAGAAGCTGTGCACACCCCTAACAGTGCCCTGAGGCCAAACGGTGTCATGGACCACAACACTGCCCCCCCCCCCCCCCCCCCCCCCCCCCCCGAGCTGCTCTCTTCCCAGGCAGTGGGTCTCTGGGTTTGTACATGTCCCCTGACGTACCTCAGCCATCCCCCACCTGCGGCCGCATAACAAGAGTGGGCAGCAAGAGCCCTTGCCAATGCCTGGGGACTGAGTTTTGGGAGGGTAGAGGGTTCACGCCATCTCCCTACCCCCTGCAAAGGCTCCTAGCTCAACCCCTGCCAAGCCACTGACCACCCCCCAGCCAGGGAGGGAACCAGGGAGCAGAGCTTTGGGCTGCTGTTTTGCTGGCTGGGGTCTCCCTAGTGCTGGGCATGTTGCTGCAAACAGAGCACCAGTGACTGCAACATGCCACCTAATGGTTAGAGCCAGAGACACAGCATTGGGACTCCTCCCCCAGGATGGGAGTGTGGGCTAGTGGTTAGAACGGCAGGCAGGCTGCCTGGGTTTTATCCCTGGCCTGGGTCCAGTAGGTTAGAACACTGGGGTCTGGGTGTCTGGACTCTGGGTGCTTTCCCAACTCCGAGAGGAAGTGATATCTAGTGGTTAGATCAGGGTGGGGGTGGGGATCGCCCTGCCTCGCCGGCTCCCTGCTGCTCTGTGTGTGGGGTGGCTGGGCTGCTGTGTGTTTGCAGGGCATTTCGGCGGCGATTCGTTGCTGTCACTCTGTGGGGCGTAATCAATAAAGCGAGGGGGGATGGAAATGACCCAGGCCTCGGGCGTGTCCTCCTGCAGCAGCCGGGTCCAACACGGGCCAAAGCCCCAGCCCCAAACACCAACATGCTGAGCCCTCTGAGAGCTGGGAATCTGGCAACAGCATGAGATGGGCCCCTCCTGCCCATCTGGGACACACACTGGACCCATTCTCAGCCTGGGCCAGCAGCCACAGCCCGAGCTCTTTTGATCCTGATCCTGCTAATGAGACGGACTCATTGGAGGCCACTGGAGAGCAACGGGACGACAATGAAACCCTCTTTCATCCGCTGCAGCTTGGAGGCACTGACAGGGATACGGCTGCCTCCAGTGTGGTACCCCCGCTCGCTGGACACAGAGGGGCGAGATAGGGTCATGATCAGTGTCATGATTGAGGGTTAGCCAGCATGATCCTGATCCTGCTAATGAGACGGACTCATTGGAGGCCACTGGAGAGCAACGGGACGACAATGAAACCCTCTTTCATCCGCTGCAGCTTGGAGGCACTGACAGGGATACGGCTGCCTCCAGTGTGGTACCCCCGCTCGCTGGACACAGAGGGGCGAGATAGGGTCATGATCAGTGTCATGATTGAGGGTTAGCCAGCAGCCTGTGGATTAAGGGGGTAACTACACCTAGCCAGGTGGAGTGGCCAGTAGGAATGTAGGGGGGACTTTCAAACTGGGCCAAAGGAATTTGGGTTTTTTCCTTTCTCCCTTTTGACTCTCTGGGTGAGTTCCCTGCAGCTACAGAGAGGGACAAGCATGTCTCTCTCTCTCTCCAAGACACCATTCTTCATTTTCTGTAAGTAGGGTAAAGTTTCGGTAATTTCATTAGGTTTTATTGTTTTAAGGATTGGGTGCGGGATCTGAGATCTGGCACTGCTTAAGAGATGTTTTGGCTTTTCTTTGTAATTAAGGTCTAAGCCCATGAGGTTTCTCCATGAGTATATTGTGTTACCTTCCCATCTAGTCATTATGGTTGCAACAGGAATATGGTTGTAATAATAAAAGTTCTTTCCTTTCTTTTATTAACCTGGCAGTGGTTAATGGTGTGCCCTGATTTTTATTTTAGGGGTAAGATTTCCCAAATGATCTTTCCCCTGGTTTCTTTAGCAACATTTGGGTGGTGGCAGCGGAAGTTTTATTCCCAAGATCTAGGTTTTTAAGATCTTGGGGGAAGTTTTATACCAAAGCCTGGTAGAGAAGGCTTTGGGGTTCACTTGCTGGCCCCCACTTCTGCATTTATCATGCCAGAGTGGGGAAGGAGCCATGACAATCAGCACCAGAGAAAAACCATCCCCAAAGGGGATTTGTTGCTATTTTCATTTATGAACCGCCTGCGTTTCTGCCCACGGTAAACAAGGTGTGCAAACATTTATGTGAAAAACGTAAGACCTGCTCTGTTGGCGCCCAACGTGGTCCATCTCGCCCAGTGTCCTCTCTCCGACACTGACCACTACCAGATCTTTAGGGGGAGCAAACGTAACAGGGCTATTATCGCAGGTATCCCCTCCCAACCATGGGTACCCAGAAGTTCAGGATCACCCCAAGGTTGGGGGCGCATTGGCTATCTTGGCACCTCCGGTCCTTTTCCAACCCCGTTGTACTTTTCTAAGAATAAGCAGTTTTTCCATGACGTTGTGCGTCAAGGCGGTGGGATATTTTTGTATTGAAGAGCTCTTTGATTTTTCACCGTTTGGCACTGTGATTGGTGTGTGGAGGAGCTGTATGGTAGCAAGCCTTTCCCAGCCGTGCAATGCTTAGTCTGAGGCTGGGGCGCCCCCCGGTGGCTTCATCAGGCCACTGCAGATGCACTTGTATTGAGTGTCAGAGGGTGTCTACACTAGCCCCGTAGTTTGAACTAGGGGGCTAGTGTAGACATACCCAGGGATTCTCCACCTGTTCACCATGGTGAGCGGCGTGTGCTTCTGTCTGTGTTATATGGGCTGCGTCCGCATGGCACTATATGCCCCCTTCCCCAGCACCATCAAGGACTGCTGAGTCGGCACTAATTCCCCGGCTGAGCCCTCTGTAAGTCCTAGGAGACCCCCCAGTGGGAGGGACAGTCCCAGCACAGAAAGGGGCCGAGGAGGGGACAGAGTTGGGGTCCCAGATGAGGCCGCACCAGAGGCATGGCAGAAGGGTGAGAGGCCGGGAGGGGAGGGCGCTGGTGCTCGCACTGCAGTGGGTCTCTCTGAGGCTGGTATCGGTCCGGGTTCCCTCTACTTTTTCCCATCCGTGTGTGGAATGACTTTTGTTACGTGCACCACTGCGCGGGGCAGCTCTGAGCCCCTGTGTGGGTGGGGTCCTAGGTATGGAGGGGGGGCTGTGTGTTCGTGTAACACTCACATGTGCCCCAGCACTGTGGTGGGAATGTTTTTATACCCCCCCCCTCCCCCAGAGGAAACTTTTGGAGCATCGGCCCGTTGAACTGCCCGCAGGCCATGGGGCTGGGCCCTGTGATCCCTGTGTGGGATAGTGTTGAAGGAAGCATGAAGAGATAGTGTTGATAGTGGGGATAGTGTCCCCCAGTTTGGGAACCTATGATCTAGACCATCCCTGACAGGTGTCTGTCCAATCTGCTCTTCAATATCTCCAGGGATGGGGATTCCACAACCTCACTCAGCAATTTAGTGGTGAGGAACAGTGGGGCTGGCAGGGAGCCGTCAGGTGCAGCAGGCGCTGAGGGGACCAACAAATCCGTGGGGCCAGTAAAGTCTGTACCGGCACAGGCGCCGGAGGCTGTCAGGCGGTGCTGCTTGTGCGGATGGTGCGGGCAGCTTGCTAGCATGCAATGGTGCAGCAGGTGGCAGCACTGAGTGATATAGACGGAGCCAGTTTGCCTTTAGACTGGGGGTGAGCTCACCTGCGCCGGGCCTTGTGCTCCCTGGGTCGTCTCGGTGCGGGAGATCCCTGGTGGCTCTGTGCCGGTGCACCGAGGGCTGCCAGTGCCGGAGCAGTGAGGAAGGGGAGCACTTCCTGGAAAACTTAGCCTTGCTCCAGCCCTTCCCTAGGCCCGAAGCTGGGGTCACAGCTGTGTGGTGACTTCCCTGGGTGGCGGCGGCAGTCCTGGGCTGGCCCCGGCCGCTGGAGCAGCCACAGCCACATGCTTCTGGTGTAACAATCTGGCTTTTCTGCATCCATGATGGAAGGCCTGTGCTAGGACTGAACCAAAGCCGCCTTCTGCAGCTAGACTGACGAGCAGCAGCCAGTAGCTGTAGGTCTGGAGACACATCCTCACAGTTCCATCTCAATTGTATTACAAAGTGTCACACCAGGCTGTGAGAAGGGACGTTGCCCGGATCGCTCCCCCACTGTCCCCAGATAAAGAAACCGATCTCCAGATGGGCAAAGAAATTTGTGCGTCACGCCGTTCTGTCTGGCAAGAAACTGCTTCTCCATAGAGGATGTGGAATCCTTATCCTATGAGCATTGTCACTACACTTTCCTATTGTTTGTTTGTGTGATCTCGGTCTGGTTTGTAACTCTTTCCGTCTGCTGGATAATTAATGTTGCTAGGTGTAAATCAATGAAGGTGGTGGGGTGTGATTGGTTAGGTCATTTTGTTATGATTGGTTAGTAAAATGATACTAAAATAATTGGTTACGGTAGCGCTAAGCAAGACTCAGGTTTCATTATATAAACTGGGGTCCAAGAAAGAGAGGAAAGGAAGGAAGATCAGAAACAACAGAAGGAAGAAAAGGCTGGAAGAGGACCAGGAGGAGGGAGAAGACCTGGAAACCAGAACTCACCTCTGAGACACAGCCTAAGACCAGAGAGACTGACCTTGCCTGGCCAACAAGGGAAGTCTGCCTGCTTTGTTAGTCTTTAAAGTGCTACATTGTCCTGCATTTTGCCTGTATCAGGATTGGTGAGCATGACACTGTGCGCTTAGCATGAGTATTCTGTTTGTTTGGTAATTGTCAATAAATAGAGGATAAGGATATTACCATGTGAGGGTCTTTCAGTGGCTAAAAATCTTGCCAACCCAAAGGAAGATGTGCCCTGAGCCCTAGGAATTGGATAAGGGTGGGTGTGTAAATTAATAGGGTTGCACCTTGAGACCTAGGAACGGGGTAAAGATGAGTGTCCCTACAGTGTGGAAGGGAGAGAGAAATTTGAGCAGGTAACAATGGGATGGCCCCACTGTGTGAGGGGGGAAGGGGAGGCTGCGTTCCCACCGTGTGCCTCTCAATCGGCTTGCATGATGGTTATGGCATGGATGCCGTGCAGTGCCAACCCCGGTGACAATCCATTGATCCCACC